AGAAAAGTATAAAAATGAAATATAAGTAATAAAGCCATGCTGTTATGTTGAGCTGTGGGGGACTCACGTCAACAATATCTGACATTGCCATATAAGCGGAAGACCCGATACTATTATGGGATACTGGACTCTTTTAGAATATTTTGCTGAGTTTACACATCTATAATATTTAAATAACGGAACTTAACAAAAAAAGGGGATACAGATGAATGTCGATTTTGTATCTGTGCATTCAAAGTGGTTGGGATAGATATATATAGTTGCATTCTCTTAATGAATAGAATGATTTGTTCTAATGGTGTTTGTAAATAGGATATCAAGCCTGCCTCAACCCCCGTTATCTCAGTAGCTTTGAAGACTCAAGCCCCAACATCAATCATTGCTTCTGAGCCCTGATAAACAGCGAAGAGCTTGGAAGTCAAGTCACTCACCTGAAATTTGTGAAAAGACAGTTACTGAATTAAAGAAACAACCTCATCAGGGTATAGAAAAAATCAGATCAGAAATAATCTCTGAGGGAAAAACCCAAATGGTAACAATCACAAAGGAATTGCTCAAGGCATCTAAAGAAGACATAGATAAAAATTGGAAGAGCGTTGAAAAATGATGGAAACATTGATTGAACAATACAGGAAAGAATTGGAATGCAGATTCAAACAGATATCCAAGAAATTAAGAATTTAATTAAAAGATGGCAAAACCCCTTGAACAAAACTGAAGATAGACGTTCAGATCTTGAAGACAGCATTGTAGCTACTGAGCGTAAAAGAAAAGATCTCTTAAAAATAATAAGGAATCAGGAAATAACAATTCAACAGCCGCAAGATGATGCAATGAAACACAGCATGGCTGATGGGTATCAAAGAAATGTCAGGAGTCAACATAAAGGACATGAAGAACCTATTTGCAGACAGAGTAGTAGAAAATTTCCCAACCATGGGGAAATAAGCTGACATACATTTAAAGTGAGACATATAGAACTACAAGTAGTCATAACCAAAATAAATCTACATCCAAAAACATACTAATGAAGATTTCAGAAATTCAAGGAAAGAACAGAATATTAAAAGCTATTAGAGAAAAGGAACAGATCACTTCTAATGGAAAGCCCATCAGCATCATGGCAGATTTCTCAACAGAGACGATGAAGCCAAGAAGACCTTGGAGTGAAGTGTTTCAGGAAGGTGAAAGAAAGCCACTTCCAACACAGATTGATGTACCTTGCAAAATTATCTGTCAAATTTTTTTCCTAGCAGTACACTTTTTTATTTTTTAAAGAATACAAGAATACAAAATCATGACAGAAAAAATGACAGCATTAGAAACAATAGAAAATTTCACTAAACAAATTAATAAGAATTCAACACTGATTGCTGTATTACATGATGCTATCTTCAAATTAGTTGGTCAGGCTACTAGATATAAATGTGGAAGATTCTTTTAAAGAATGAACAAAACAAAACAATAACCAAAAAGCTGTAGGAAATTCAAAAGAAAAAAAGATAAAGAAAAAGAAAAAAAAACTTTTGAGCGTTAACTGCTTCTTTGAAAAGACCAGAAGAGGGCCTATGTGATAGTTCAGCAGACTAAGTGCCTGCTTTGTCAAGTGCGCCAGCCCTGCCCCGCGTGTGCTGAGCCACTGAGCCAGTGGTGGCACATGCCTGTAATCCCAGCAGTGGAGAGGCTGAACACAGGAAGATCACTATGAGCCCGAGCTGTGTAGTGAGACCCTGTACCAAATACATAAATGAAAAAAAATAGGCCAGAAGAAATCTAGGGTACAATTATCCAAACTATTCTGTATATATGCCAAAATATATCATTTTCCTTCTTTCATTTTTTTTTTAAGGATAAAATAAGTTTTTATTTATAGTCTTATAGTAAAAGGGGAAGCCTTAACTTGCAAGACAATTCTTCAGCAGTATGTACAACATACTTTTTATTTCCACGGAATGGAATCAAACACAGACAGAGACTACAGAGTAGAGTATACACTAGAAATCAGCAAATGCCAGGAACAGAGTAGGAGAATGACAAATAAATGAGGCCTA